TTAGGCATGGACTAGTTATGTTCTTACCAAGAATTCAAGGAAGTTTTCATGAACATGAAGAACAATGCAAATTCAACACATGCATGGGTTCCTAGGAACACCAATGCTACAAAACAAGATCAAATGCAATGTTTAACTTCAAAACATGGTGAGTTCATGGATCAAGACCAAAAATATGAACATGCATGCAATAATTTCCATAAAAACAACTCTGAACTTCAAGATATGCACATGCATGCATGATTTAAGCCTCAATACAACAATTTAAGCCAATTCTAGACTCAACTCACTAAACTTCTATAAATCATGCAAGATATAACTCAAATGCAAGTTCAAGAAGATGGTTCTCCTATTGAATTACTAGTGTAGAAGCTCAAATATGCAAGACTCCTTCAATTTCTCTAAATTTCCAAGCAAAACAAGATGAAATCAAGCTCTTCCTCTGTGTCACTCTCTCTGGTCAGTTTTGGGTCAAGGAATGGATGAGGAAAAGATATGAATTAAGTCCCAAATGTTTTTATGAGATGGCTCACTAACATGGCATTTTGGTAAATAAGTCCAACTAATGCAAATACAACATTATTTAATCTAATTTAATCATTCCAAATCAAATTTCAATTAAACATGCCATAAAATCACATAAATTCTAATTAGTATAAAACACTAATCAATTTCAGATTCGGCTGCCGATAAGGCTTTCAATTTGCAGTTTAAAACATAAAACATGAACAGATCATTTAACGGTCAACAGATAAAAATGCATTTAAACTAATACACTAAATAAATCAGTTCAGAATTTCAGTTAATCAGTCAGTTAACATGCTTAATCATAGATTAGCACTAATCAGTGGTATGGGTTGTCACACCCACATAGATTTGGTGCGATATTTTGAATGGGTTTATATAGCTTGGAATTATAACTTGGGAAGGGCCCCAAGGAGCACCCCAAGTTTGTAGAAGGGAGAGGTTATAGACTAGAGCTATTTGGACCCAAAAATCACCACACACGCGCGCGCCGCCGCCGCTGCCGGTCGGTTGGTCGGCACGGGTGCATGGTTGAGGTTGGGTTGGGCTTGTTCGGCCCAATACTAATCTTTTTGGGCCAGAAACATTTGGATTTAATTTTATTTTTTAAAATAAAATCTGTCAAACTGTCTAGAATTCAAATTAATTCTGAAATTAATCTGTTCCGGTTTTTCTCTACACCCAAAAAGATCCCTTCCGTTTTTATCTGTTTGAATTTTTAACCCAGCAGATTTAAATCTGTTTAATTCAAAGCCAAACAGGTTTCATACCTGTTCAAAACAGGTTAGCACCTGTTTAATTTAAAATTAATAGCCACCACTACATTTATAAATAGGCAGCCCTCATTTGATGTTTTACATTCAGAAATTTCGTACTTCTCCTCTGCAAATTTATTTTTCATTTTGCTGCATTTAATTTTTTGTGAGAAAGAGTATAAACACTTAGTGCGTTTGTTGAACAAATAAATTGTAGTGCTGCATTTATTTGTAGTTGATCATTTCATCCGGGAAGATAGACGTCCATATTCTGAAAGCACCGTAGAGAGGATGAATCTGTCTTAAGGACACAATGTCAAACACTGAACTTGATCAGATTATTATTCGAAGAAATTAATCAAGTAAGTTGTTTAATTTATTATTCTGTTTTATTTGTTTATTAAATCAGATTTTAATTTTGTTTTTGTAATGAAATAAAATCTATTTTTATTTATTTAATTTTATTTCTAGTTTGATTTTTGCAATCAAACAATTTTCTCTCATTTTCTTTATTTCTTTTATATTCTGTTTGTTATTAAGTACACAAACAGAATTAATTAATTACAGCGAAGATTGTCCAACATTTTGTTCCATACATACCACATATCTATTAAAATTTTTATATTAACCTATATGTTCAAATCTTTTTTTTATTTGTTCAAGTTTTTGAACCCATCTGTTCAAATTTGTATCTATTTGTATTTATATATTGAACCTATGTGTTTGAATCTTTTTTTTTTTATCTGTTTAATATTTTGAACTCATCTGGTCAAATTTGTATTTATCTATTGAACTTATTTGTTTAAATAATTTTTTTATTTGTTCAAACACTTTCTCTTTTCTGCTTTCTCTACACTCTATTCCACAAACCCCCACTGCGTTTAAATCGTTTTCTTATTATATCTTCCTCTTTCTTGTTCTTTCTTTCTACTTTATATTATTTTTTATTGTATTTATCTGTGATGTCCCAAACTCCATTCTAAGGGTTTAGGTCTAGGAAGCGTCACTAATGATTTCTTTAGTCAATAACCAAGTAAGTGTTGGGGAATTTTCAAAATGGTTTTTAAAATGTATAGTTTAATTTTTGGGTGTTTTTAAAACCTTCCTTGTTTTTCTTTGGAAAGCTTGAAATAAGCTTGGGGACTTTGTTCCACATCGGAAAGAGAGGAAAACATAAAGCACTTAATAAAGTGGGTGTTTGGGAAGTTGCTATTTTAGTAAGCTATTTTAATTTTTGACTATTTTAGTAGGCTAAAATTTTTGTGTGTTGGGAAGATGAGAGGATTTTTTTATAGTTAGAAGTAATGTTTGTGAGAGAAAAAGTAAAATAATTATGTGTTTGATGTGATATTTTGTCTTATTGGCTATTTTAACCTATTTTATCTTTTAGAACTATTTTAGCCAAAAAAGATAAAAAAAAACTTCTTCCCAAACACCTCCCAAAGTGCTACATGAAATATTCTTTTGAATATGGAATTGTAAAATGAAAGCTAGTGTGCATGCATCCACACCGCAAGAATGGTGCTTCGCACCATCTGCACACGCACATGCACATGCGCGCGTATGCGTAGCGTGGGCAGTGTGATGTGTGGCGTTTGATAGTGCACTTTGCATTTAGCACGGACTCATGGCACCGATGAGGGCACTTTCCTATTTGCATTGACCAGGTTGGAGCGACAACGTGAATCCAACATGGCATGGGTGACGTGGAATATAGTCAGCTTCAAGTGGCAGTGACGTGGTGTCCGTTGGCGATGAGTCAACCAACCGATCAAACAGTTGCATATCCGATCTGGAGTGGTTTGATCATAATCATTGATTAGAGATGCGTGAGATCGTACGGATGATATGACACCCGATCGTGATCAGGTGTGATCAGTCAAGGAAGCTATTTGGTGTGAGAATGATCTGCACCATAGATCGTCGATTCAATGGTCAGATTTGATCGGATGCGATCAGGGGAAATGACCATTCGATCAGATCCATCAAGGCCTATAAATAGGCTACGAAATCAGCCATTTCATTCTATCCAAAAAATTCAAAAGCATTCCTACAATTCTCTCTCTTTTCCTCTTGATTTGAGTTTTCGATCAAGAGTTTCTTAAGTAAATTTCTGTTTTTCTTACTAGTAATCAAGTTCTGCAAATTTGATTATCAGTG